AGGGGCATCTGCCACAGCAGCTGAGGTCACGTGGCTCCACACAGTGCTGGGACAGGAACAGCAAGCATCTGGCCAGTTTGGTTCCCATAAGGAAAGTAGGTGCCCTTCCCACAGAAGATGCCAGGTGGGAAAAATAAAAGAATGCCCACTGTTTGGAGACAAACCCCAAAATTAGGCCTGGAAGCCAGACAAAGGAAAGGAGTGGGGAAGACATCAAAGCCATCAGCAGAGGGTTCAGGGTAGAGACCAAAACAAAGAGACCCACTTTGGCTTCTGGCTCAGCTGAGCCCATTCTGTGTCTCCTCATAAACAGATCTGCTTTTTCAAAAGCCAACAACTGTAAATAATTGTGTACAAACTAGATGTCCACTCCAATGAGCCTGTGCTAAACAGAGTCTGATAAAGAAAAATTGAGCCATTTAAATTGCTGTTTCCATAACCAGCACTGAGTATCATATTCAAATCCATGGGAACACTGATTAAAGTGTGGGTCATCGCACTGCACAAGCTCTCTCTCCTGGCCATTTGCCCGATGCTGGGCCTTGATTTGGCTTCTGATTGTTGTCGAAATTCGCTTTAGTCCTGAACGTTACACAAACAAAATACATAAATCACATTTTGCACAAATGAGCATTGCAATTCCCTTCTAGTTAATTGACTTAAGCCCACTTTGCGTTCAGCATTTATGAGATTTCCATTTGGCAAGTAGAATTTCAGCAGATGAGCAGAGCACCCTGCTGAGGCCAATTGCTCACAGAGAAGTGCAGCCGTGCCACCCCAGGCCCACATATGTCAGTGCCTCTCTCAGGGCCCTTCGCGCAGAGCTTGTGGGTAAAGGGCCCAGCGAAACAACCCTGCAGGGCCTGGATCCACCCTATCTCGGGAAGTGAAAGCAGAGGCCAAAGAAAAGCGAGGACTTCCACCAGCCCAGCGCTCCCTTGCTTCCCTCCCAGGCCACCATGAAAGAGATCTGGGGAACTGGATAAGCAGAGCCCAGGTCAGCTCCATCCAATGGAAACATAAGGAAAGTCCATATCGCATTTTAAATTTTCCAGTAGTCACAAATTTTAAAAGTATAAAATAGGCAAAAAGAACATGAACAACATATTTATTCTATAATACCCAATATAACCAAAATGTTTTCACTTCAGCACATAATAAGAAAATGATTAATGAGTTGTTTTACATCTCTGATGCTAAGCCTTCAGACTCCTCGTGTTTTGTACTGGTAGCACATCCCAGTCAGGACTAGCTGTGTGCACAAAGTGGCCACAGTATTAGCATGGAAGCCCACTGTATCCCTGCATTTGCAGTTTCCTTCTCTAATTAGCCATTGAGTTCTCAAAAAAATCTTTGAGTTGGAAGAATGTGAAATAGAAAATAAATTTGTCAAAACTTTCAGGTTAGGCATTTCAAAAAATTCCAGGGCTGGTGTGTGTTTCCAGCAAAGGTGAAGTACGTTTCTCTCTGGTGACTTCCAGGATCAATTCAGCTCTGTAGATGTTCCTTGAGGGCCAGCTGTGCACCAGGTGCTGCATTAGGCTGGAAGGTGTCCCATAAATCAGGGTCTCCTGCCACGAAGCTTCTGGCTCCCCACACAGGGCATTTTACACAAGGACAGGAGATAGGAGGCAGGAACTTAGAGTGCTAGCACGGCATCCCCTTCTCCTTGGGGTGTTAGCCAGTCAAGAGATGCACCCAAATTCTGACAGGGTCAGGCTGTGTTATAAGGGCAAGGATGAAACAGGCCTCCTCCTTCCCTGAGAATTAGCTGCCTCCTATGATAAACAGCAGCAGGACACAGGCTTCCTTCCCTGCCAAAAGCCAGGCATGAGCTGTGCAGGATGCCACAGCCTTCCTGGAAACAAAGCCAGGGCCAGGGGCACTGGCCATGGAGGCCAGACCCTGCTGCTCAGGCACACCAGCTCCGCGCAATGACCTGCTCTGGCCTTAATGCTGAAGTACACAGCCAACAGGGCAGGGGTGTCCTCTGTGAAGTGAGACAGAGGGGACAGGTGAGCTGCTCTCCTCCCAAATCACCACTCTGCACAGAGCATCTCTCCTAGCCACTGTCAAGCTATTCAGCTTCTGTCCCCAAAGGGACCCTAACCATGTACTTGCTGATGACACCCTGAGCTCTATGCCAAAGGGTGCACGTGACCCTACTTCCAACTTTGAGTTATACACCAGCCCACTCACTAGAACAGTACATGGAGAGACTAAGCCACAAGTACACAGAATTTCTCCAAGAATTGCAATAGCAGTCACATGACAATGGACTCTACATACCCTGAACCCACTCTGATTTCTAACTACCCAAGAAAACTGGAGGCCCAGCAATGTAAGCAGCCCTCCTTGTAAATAGAATTTATAATTGTCATGGCTTTCTCCTCTCCCTGGTCCCTCAATCTTGCAATTCTAGACAACGAAGCTGCACCAGAATCAAAGTAAAAAGAAGCTTCTTTTGGCAGCTCACAGCCTAGCTGGCTTTTCCTGGGGTGGCTGAAGCTCTTTGCCGCTCAGTATTTTCGACTGGACTGTTCACAGGACACAGGAAGTCCCCACAGTGCCAGCCTCAGCCATGGTCATCCTCCAACCCCACAGTGGTCATGCCAGGAAACATGTACTTGTTACTCAGACCTTGTCTGTTGTTGACAAACGATCTAGGAGAGATTTGGTGACCTTTGGGTATACAGAAAAATATCAAGAGAGATGAGAAATCCTCTTTTCATCAATTTTGCCGGCCCATTCATACAGGTCTCTCAACTTCACAAGCAATGAGTTTTTCTCAAGTATAAGAAACCCTTGTCAGGGATACTCGTGTGCTCCGGGGTGCCTCCTTCCACCAGGCAGGGGCAGAGCTCGCAGCCTAGGCCTCCCCTGGACACCAGCAAGCAGTGCCTTCCCCCAGCCTCTTCCCAGTCTTGCCTTCTCAGCTCATTTGCTATGTCTTAGTCAACCTTCTGTGCTTCAAGCTGGAGCAAAGAAAAATCCCTTCCCATCCTCTTTTTTCCTATTTCAGCAGCACTTGACTTTTCAGAGCAGAGAAAGGGCATGAAGGCAGAAAAATAAGTTAAAAGCATTTGCCTTCTACCTCCCCACACACACACTCCTCCCTTGCTCTCCAGCGCACACTTGGCAAAATGTTAGAAATCAGCACCTATAGGCCTAAGCCAACAGCCCCAATGACACCAGGGTCTTAACACCCCTGCCCTGCAGTCTGGGGGAAACAAAGGCCTCTTCCGTTCCACGTGAGACTCTGAAGTCCCGCAGAAAGCAGTCTCTTCAGTGTCAGTTCCCTGAGACTCAGAAGAAACCTCTGCCTTGGATTGAGCCCAGTGCTCTGTGTGCAAAGCTAAGGTCCCAAGCTAGGCCCTCTGGACTTATGATGACATGTGAAGGACAAGCCTTACCAGAGTAACTGACCCAGCCCCAAGGTGCACACATACTAAAGAACTTCATTTGGTACCTACTTTAGCCAACCTCACAAGCAAGCAAAATCCATCATAATACCAAGATCATAAACAACCACAAACACCAAACTGTCTACCACACCCTTCCAGCCCTTCCGCACTGTCAAGGCTTGCTGTGCAGGATTTAGGTCACCAAGAGCTATGGGTGTAGCCCTCCTTTCCCTCCTCTCTTCCTCTTTTCCTTTCTTTCCATTTGCCTGTGTTTCAGTCTTTTTTTTTTTTTTTAATTGAATTTATTGGTACATTCTAGGTAGACAGTACAGTTACATTCATTACTGGGTTCTTGTACCTTTACATGCCAGGTCTTGGTTCTCATTTTTTCCCCTTGACCCCACCCTCCCTTCACCCTGTTTCAGTCTTTCAAACAAATACCTGTTGACCATTTATCATGTAGCAGGAAACCATGTTACATCCTGGTAAGGTAACTGCTTTGTAAAATCAACATACTCTCTGAGCCTAGCAAAGATGGACATGGGTCAAATGATGATGCATCTTAATAAAGAATCAGAACTACAACCAGGGAACAGTTTCTAAGGCTTGAGAACACCATCCAGTCCAGAGAGTCAGAGAAGACTTCCTGGGTCAATGACAGCCCTACCTCCTGAGGGATGGATAGGATCTGAGTCAACAAAGAAGAGGCTGAAGAGAAGACTAGCAGAGGGCATGACACATCCTAAGGCCCTGCAGCAGGAGGCACCAAGGAACAGGAGAATGCTAGGTGAGACACCTGTAGAAAGATGGAGCAGGTAGTGAGAGATGGCAGAGATGTAACTGGGCCAGGGCATGCAGGATGGGGACTTTAACCTGAGAGCAGAGAGGAGGTATGAAAGGATTTTAGGTACTGCTGGGAAGAAGAGCCTGGAGTGTGGTCAGGGAGTCCTGAAAGTTAGGCTCAGATTTGGACTTCTAGTGAGAGGTGCTTACTACATAGGCAGGTCCATGGGGTTTAGAAACGCAGCCCCAGCATAACCAACGCCAAAGAAGATGGACAGCAGTTTGTGTCCTGCAAAGGCCCCACTTAGCCCTGTGCAGATGATTTGGGGGAACAGATGTAACTCCCAAACCTGCTAGATATCCAAAGCGTGAGTTTGCGTTCTCTAAAATCAAAGAATGAATTCCAGGAACAATAGAGATTAAAAGTAGGAAAATTTTATTGACAGAAAGATAGCTTCTGTCTAACAGAGATAGAAGGGGGACCAGAATATGGGTGGCCCAGGGATCCCACTTTAGAAAGCCATGAGGTAAGGTGGGTTTAAAGTGAGACAAGACTATAAGATCCAATGGAAAAATCACAAGATGGCATGAGGTGGAACAAAACCATGACCAACCAATAAGATTACAAGCACAGTCATCATTAAATGGGGAAATGGAAAAACAAGTTACATACAAAGAATTTCCAGAAAAGAAATGAGCCAGGGAGATTAATGGCCATTTAGAATATCAATCACTGCTATTCATTTCTAGGGAAAGTAGTACCTCTTTTCTTTTTCTTATGCTACCCAGTGAATGTGCCTCAATTGTTTTTCTATCCTGAGGGCCCAGCTTTGTCTAACTGCCTTGCAATAATTTTTAACTAACTTAGCTATCTGCAACACATTGACCTCCCACCCCTAACACAGTTGCTGCTGTTCTGTTCTCTGCACAGTAAACCAGCTTTGCCCACTGGGCTTCACACAAACACCATCAGACTGCACATACATTTGAGTCGCGCTGAGGATAAAAGAAGAAAACAGGGATGTGAGCTAGCCAGGAGAGTGGCACATAGCACTCAGCATCCAGCATGGCGGCCAAGGTGAGAGGAGCTGATGGATGGAGGCAGAGCTGACCCGAGGGAAAACGGACAGCAGAGGATTAGATATGCAGTGTTCAGCAGATACTGAAGATTTCAGGCCTCAGAAAGCTCAGCAGAGCCAGCAACTTCCAAGAGCACCGGAGTGTGGCGCCTCTTCATAACCCAAAACATACAGTCAACATACGATCCAGCAGCTTCATTCCCAGAGAGAAAGCAGGGACTGGAGCAGATATTTATACTCCAATGTTCATATCAGAATTATTCAAAATAACCACAAGGTGCAAACAATCCAGAAATCCATCAATAAATTAATAAACAAAATGTACTACATATTTGTATCACAGTGGAAGGACAAGAAGGGAATCCTGACATGGGCTACTGCATAGATGAACCTTGGGAACATTCTTCTAAGTGAGATAAACCAGATACAATAAGACAAATATTGTATGGCTGTAATTAATGTGGGTACATTAATCAATACTCAAACATAATCAAACTCATAGAGACAGAAAGTAGAACAGCGGTTATCAGAGGCTGGAAGGGCAAAGAATGAGGAATTACTGTTTCATGAGCACAGGGATTTTTTTGGGATTTAAAAAAAGAGAACTGGGGATGGATGGGGGTGATGGCTTAACAACAGGGTTAATAGATTAATGCAAATGAGTTGTGTATTCAAAAATGACCAAAAGAATAACTTTTGTTACATATATTTTATCATAATAAAATGCTCTTATGTGATGATAGCTTAATTAGACACTCACTGTGTTAAAGATTATTTAAAACATCTTTAATTGTACACAGGCCAATTAAAGCTCTCTACCTATTTCTTAATAATTTGAAAGCTCCCCTTGTCATTTCCCACAGGCCCCTACCAGCCCACGGTCAGTTGCAACTACTCTACCTCCACTAGAAAAGGTTTCACAGGAAAGTTCTGGGCAAAGTTTGAAGTTCAGGCTCTTTAAAATGATTGTATCCTATAAAAAAATAAATAAAATATAAAATGATTGTATCCTAGAAATATCTGTTGATACCAAAAGTGACAAAGATTTCTTAAGACAACAAAAAGGCAATACTATCTCATTCAACAGTAACAGTGAAAAAAATGAACAAGCCCAGAGACAGAAGCCACATAGCTGGAGGACCACAGACAGCAAAATTACACTGAGATGGGGCTCCTGCTAACTGAGTGCATTTGACTAGCCCTAGCCACAAAAGCAAAAAAGCTGGGAGGTGATAAACATGGTAATTTGTTGCAATGTAGTGACCTTCTTACTATCTCTATGAAAACTGTAACATCATGTTGGATGCTGTGAATATGCCTTATCACTCTTCTTTAAATAACCAGCCTTGAAAACCAGAGATCAAAAATGCCAGCCCCAATCAGCCTTTAGACTCCACTCAGCAGACTGGTGAAACACACTTCTAGGCATGTCTGAGTGGGTCATGGAGGGAGGCATGGCCTTGGAGTCTTTGCCTCTTCCCTGTCCTTTTCCTCTCTGGAACTGTTTCCCTGCTCTGATTCCCAGTCACCATGAACTAAGCAGCTTTGTTCCTCCACACCCTTGTGCCAGGTCATTTCTGCCATAGAGTCAGCTGACTGTGGACTGGATCCCCTGAAACCATGAGCCAAATTAAACCTCTCCCTAAAGTTGTGGGTGGCAGGTACCATGTACAGTGGCACAGGGACTCCAGTGCTGTCAACCACCCACCTCCTAACACTGTGTAGCACCACTGGGCTCCCGGAGAGGACAAAGTGAGGAGAGTGCTAAGGTTAACCAGATGTGGGTGCTGCTTCAAGACCCCCACATCAGGAACCTGGCAGCCGCCACTGTGTTCCAAGGCTAACTGCATGTGACGGAAACAGCCCTTAGCCAAATTTCATGTTCTGTCATTTCTAAAATAGTGATTTATTAATAAAATGTGCATCCTCCAAGAAATAATTTGAAATTAGATGAAAAAGTAAAAAGAAATTGGATAAGTAAAATGAGTCTATTTATCATTCTCCTTGTCCTGGGGTCTAAAGCAGTTCCTTTCATTTGTATTCCTGGCCTCCAGGCTGGGCTGGCCAGGAAAGGAATGAAGCTGGCTGGCACCCACCCTCTTGTGGGCCAACAGAGGGGAGCACTTGGGCTTTATGCCAATCATCTGCCACATCATTCTATGGATAGGGTAGCAGGGGACTGAGCAGGGCTTCTCTCTGCACCAATAGGAACAAAAAACAAGGGTTCCATCAAGTAGTGGCTAAGGAGTTCCCCAGCTCCAAAGAAGCTTCTGACACAGGCTGGTCTCTGGGCCCCAGGTAGATGGATGGTCGAAAGTCAATCACTCTTGACTTGATCTTGCTCAAAACAGCAGCCAGATGGTGAGTGCAGAACAGAGTCCCAGGGAGTTCCTGTGTCCCTTCTGCAGCACAGGTTGTCAGGGCAGCCTAGTCAGCATCAGATTCCTCGGCTTTCTCCTCTGTATTTCTGATATCTGTCAATCAAGCAGGAGGTACAGTTCTTCCCTCGTGGCTTCTCCAATCTGCTGCCTTTCCTCCTTCCCCTGATCTCTGGTGGGTCAGAGGAAGCATAGCAAAAAAAAAAAAAAAAA